ACTGTCATGGTCTGACATTAACTCGATATCCGGGACATGAGTGAGCGAAGGAATAGCTCGTAAAACGACATGAGCATTTTCCCCTTCAGCTCCTGTTCGCTTAGTTAGATACCAGGTCTTTTTGAAGTGCGGCTTTGTCAGCTTTGGAGGTCGCTTGCACTGCAAACCGTACCAAACTTCACTGAGAATATCGCGATATCCTTCACGGAAGCGATCGTTTCTGATCACAAAGATAATCGGGTTTATTGACGAGTTGAAAAATCCGCACCAGTAGGCAGCAACACCGAGGCCGTAAGGAAGGTTGGCAACACCCGTGTTCCGCGTTGCTAACACGATGAGGAACACGAAAGGAAGCCAACAAAGTACAAACACAAGCAACACAAGCAGCAGTGTGTATGTTATGCGGCGTTGAAGTTTCATGACTTCCAGACCTCCTTTTGTATACTTAGCAATTCTGTTTGTGTGCTTGCGAACTGCGAAAAAAATCCTAATGTAAGCAAATGCCATGATCAACATTGTAATCACATACGCGACCAGGACGAGGAACAAGAGATAAAGTCGCTCTGAAGTCGTGCGAGGGTACGCGACGCCACAGGCTAACGTGCTCGAATTGTACGCAAAATGTCCCCAGCCCAGGACAGGGCCCAAAGACAGAAGAGTTGCGAAGATCCATACTGTGGCAATCATATACCACGCCCGGCGAATGGTGATTGTACGCGAGAGAGGTTTGACGAGCGTGTAATATTGTTCGATGCTCATAATTGTCAGTGTGAAGATCGAAATACAGAAGAAGAACGATCCCAGAAAGCCATCAAGCGTACAAAACGAATCGCTCATGATCCAGCGACGAGAAATGCAGGTCACGAGCGAAAATGGCATTGATAATAATGTCACTCCTAAATCGGCGGACGCCAGGTTCATAATAAACATATACCGCGGGGTCTGCATGTTGGAATTTCTGTACACTACAATAATATTCATTGTGTTTGCCACTATTGCCACCAACATTATCAAAATCAGCGATGTCGCTTGAAATGCTGCCTCAATCGGGAGATATTGAATGAAAGTCTCGCTGGTGTTGGTGTTTACGTCTGTTCCGGCCATGCTCCGTCGAAGAAACTGAAATTTTCCAGCTTATTTTCTTGATGGGACTGATATTAGATCGTCTGCTTCGCCGCCATTAACGAAAAGGAAATATTGCGGTACCATTCGCCGACAATATCGAAGAAAGTCCTTCGATTGTAAGAACTGATAATAAATATTGTGTCATCGTTAGTTGATTCAGGCCGACCAGTCATGTCATATTACCGGCGGCAATTGTTTCCGATGAAATTCTTGTTCGCTTTTTCCTTTCTTCAGGTCCCTGTCCATAAAATTCAAATATATACTAAATTTAAACGACAGCAGGTTCCTACTGGTTCTTTTCAGCTGTAAATTTTTTTCCACAATGTCATATATTAGCTCTGGTCTCGTAGCAACCTGAGCTCTTGTGAGCCTTGTGCCTGATGTTCACATCACAGTCAAATATGTAACTGTTTTGACACCTCTGATGTTGATGGAGAAAATTGCTCGCCTTTCAACACATCATGTGGAGCAGGCACAAGGGCAAAATGTAGACAGACTCCTTCACAAGTTGTTAATCTGGTGCGAAACAATGTAAACCGATTGACCTACAACGTCGACAAAGAAAACACAAAAGCCGAGCTTTTCAAGTGTCATAGCTAAAACCTTGACATGCAAATTTTCGGCTGGCCCTTGACGTGATCTACCAGTACAAATGATTCTATAAACAATATCGACTTTGCACTTGACTTATTTAATGGTAAGACATTATACAGGTCTTGAGAGACGTTTTGTGAGAGTAAACTACAAGTTATTTCGAGATTCAGGGCGCGTTTTACCACTTACCGGTAACGAAAAAAAAATCCAACTTCACAGGCAGCCGTTTTGAGTAAAGAGCAAGTTCCTCCTTGAACATAACATGCAGGTGTGCATGTGATTTTCACACGATTTTTCGAGAACCTGGAGAATAGCAAATACATATTCTATTATGCAAAACTTACTAATGAACTCAGCCTATGACTAGTTCCTCGGGGAGAACGCATGTTATTAGCTTGCCAGTGAAAACAAAAGGCGCCAAGAAGGTTCCATTTAGCACCTGACAGTAATAATCGCATGCGTCAATTCAAATTAAAGAGACACACAGTACGTGGGTGATTAACTGTTATTGAAGACAGAAACATAAGAAAGATTTTACTGATTTGTTGACATTTTATTGATCTTCTCATCTCAGAAAAATTTAAAATATTAAAAGTAAAAACTGGAAACAATTTTAAATCCTGGCAAACGCAAAGCTGTTCACCGCTTTTTGCGCTGTAGATTAGTAATCAAGGTCAAAATTGCCCATTGGCCTATGGCTTTAGAAGACACAAACTCGCCAACGTGCATTTCGTCGTCATATTTACGTAGTTCAGCGAATTCCTTTTCGATGACGCCACCGCTTGATACGACACGGATTGATAAAGACCTCAACTGATCTTTTCTTGATTCAAGGATCTTTCCTTGCCGGATTAAAGTCAAAACGCTCGGGAGCTTAAAATTACACAGCACAAACACTTTGACCACTTTGACCAATCAAATTGAAGTCTCGTGCTTTAATTCAACGTTATGCGTGAAGTACTAAAGAATGTAAATGCACTTTGCTTGTTTTCAGAAAAATAAAGGCGTTGTTGTTGTTCAGTTGTGTAATATAAACAAGGTCGTACCGAGTAGACATATTTTCTTAAGTAATGGCCTTAACCATGTTTACGGGCGGGAAACCCAACAGGATGTGTGGTCAGGTTGTCACAAAAAATCGTAAAAGCGTTCACGAAAAGGCAGATTATTGGTATTATGGGCAGTAATAACTTAGCGTTGCTCGATTGAGGTTCACATTGTTTCGACAAAAAATAAAGGCGTTGTTGTTGTTCAGTTGTGTAATATAAACAAAGTCGTACCGAGTAGACATATTTTCTTAAGTAATGGCCTTAACCATGTTTACGGGCGGGAAACCCAACAGGATGTGTGGTCAGGTTGTCGCACAAAAAATCGTAAAAGCGTTCACGAAAAGGCAGATTATTGGTATTATGGGCAGTAATAGCTTAGCGTTGCGCGATTGAGGTTCACATTGTTTCAGCAAGAAGGAAAAAGAGAGAGTGAATTCACGTGTTTGTGCTGTTTCGGTCTTTCAAATTGTCGTCAAATTGAAACACCGTGAGCTTCAATTCATATCACCCATGATACCTTTCGACATAGCGCGCAGGTTTCACGTTTTCGTAAACACTGCACACGTTACGTGTTTAAATGGTCATAAGGTGGGTTTCAAAATGCACCAACCTCCCACACTCCCCTCCCCTCTTCACAGTTCTCCATAATCATTCTCACTAACCCTTACGGACTTGTCGTCTTTTCGGGATCACCATTTGACAGCTTTATTTGAGAGCCGAAACCAAAGTCAAAGCCGTGATGTGCAACTCAGTGTTCAACTCCTTGGGCCATCAACTACATCCCTGTCCATGGCGCATTTCAATCGGATAGCTATAGCTGATGTCCCTCGATTACCGAGGGTGAGAAACAAATATAAATCAGACCTAACAAAGCGTATTTCTCGAACTGAAACGTCGTATCAATACAAGTAAAGTAACTCTCTCTGCTACCTGGTTTACTCTGACAGGAACAAATTCATCGCTTTCGAACATCATTGTTGGTTGAAATCGTCTTAAATTTTAGAAGCGAAAGCGAGGGCTGTAGCAAAATTTTCAGCACAGGCAAGGCAAGTCTAGCGAGCGCCGAAGACGTCAGCCTTTAGAGAGAGTTGAGGGGGAATCTCCTTCAACGCCCTCGTATAAAGGAGAAAGTTCCAAGGGAGGCCAAGCATCGTCAGAGAAATTTCGAAAAATTGAACGTCTTTAAACGGCTATACTTTTTTTTTTTTTACCCCTTGGCCGGGAATTCTACACTCCAAAATGAACATGGAATGGATAAAATGCGCTATACTGAGGTTTTTATTTTTATTGCGTGCAAAAGACAACTTATTTACACTCGCTATTAGGCCATGCACGTGTGATAAGTTAATGGGTACAGTGTGCTGTTTTTCGGTTTCTCCTTATACACCAAGTGCCTGATTGATGATAGCTTCAGTACATAAAGGATGACGGAGATAACGGCCCTTGCATGTTCATTGTGTCAGAATATTTAGACAAAAAAA